AATTCAGAAGAAATGTCAGATGATGGTGAGGAAAGCTGCTGCAGTTACAGACCTGTGCCTTTGTGCCAGAAGAGGGTGAGGCAGGGCAGTCTCTGTGGCTGTGATATCTCTGCAGCTATCACTCTCCTCAGTTCAATTTGTGTTCCAACCCAGTGCCTGGGGTGGAGGTGGGGTCTCCACAGCCTTCCCAAAGGATTGTGGAACCTCTGGGTTTCTGACTGGCCTCTAGCACACTTCACCCCCTACATTTGGGCAGTTCCCAGCACAGGTAGAGTAAACAATGTCTCCCCCAAATCCTCCACACCATCGCATGCTCTCCTGGTGCTGCATTTCCCCACATCAAGCCTGAAATGGGTCTTTGATGATAGGGAGGGGGAACAGAGGTCCAAAAGGATACAGGAGAAAGTTGGAGAGAAGGAATAATAGTAGAAAACCTTTGGCTCGGCGCCTGTGGCTCAAGCGGCTAAGGCGCCAGCCACATACACCTAAGGTGGCGGGTTCGAATCCCCAGCCCGGGCCCGCCAAACAACAATGATGGCTGCAACCAAAAAATGGCCAGGCGTTGTGGCGGGCGCCTGTAGTCCCAGCTACTTGGGAGGCTGAGGCAGGAGACTCACTTGAGCCCAGGAGTTGGAGGTTGCTGTGAGCGTGATGCCATGGCACTCTACCCAGGGGGATAGCTTGAGGCTCCGTCTCAAAAAAAAAAAAAACCTTTGTTGAGCAATTACTATATGCCCACATTAGGGTGCTAAGTACTTGGTAAGAATTAACTCATTTGACACTCATGGCAGCCCCATGGGAAGGTGCTATGATTAGTATTATTCCCATTTACAGAGGAGGGAACAGGTAAGTTCAGAAGCTGGCCAGGACCACACAGACACAGGTAGAACTGGCATTTGAACTGACACAGTGTCACTTCAGAAACCCTCTCTTAACTACTCTTGTCATGTCTCTCCTTATACTTATATTGGACACATACTTTATTTGGATTACCGGAGTTGGGAAAAGGAAACAGACAGCAGTCCCAGCCTCATCCTGGAATCCAGACCAGCTGGTCTAAGTGTCACCTGGATATTTGCTTTTTTTTTTTTTAAAGGTCCACAGGGAATTCTAGTGTGTAATTAGGGCTGAGATCCACTGATCTGAACTGATCCACCCCAACATCATCAACAGATTTGCCAGATAGTGAACAGCTGCACCCTGGAGAGAACAAGCCAAGACGAGACTGTGTCTTAGAGACTACAAGTATAGAAGGGATCCCTGCACAGATAGGTGGGTGGGCAGGCAAGGTGAGAGGGAGCTCTGGAAGAATGAACTGGCAAAATGAGGAGATGCCAGATATAATTTGCCCTCATCATAGATGCCTGTTCTGCTTTGAAAGATTCCAAGCAAATGTTGATGGTCTCTACTTCAGCAAGTGCTCAGCCATGTGAGGAAAGCTTAACATACTACATGAAATGGTTTTGAAGTATTAGCAAACCAATTTAGCAATAACTATACATAAACTGAGGTAAACTGAGACCCCTTCAGACTAGCAACAAGGCTGACCAGGAAGAGCCTTTGGGAAAACAGTTTTGAGTCACATTTGAAAGGCTAAGCATAATGTGGCTCAAAGAGAAAATAGAAATGCACCTGCCATGCAAAGAATGAGATGTGACCAGAGGCACAGTAAAGAGTAGAAGGGTTAGGCATGGCAGAGGGAATAGGTCTAGAGCAGAGACTTCTCTGGACAGGGATAAGCATGGTGAGCAGGGAGATGAGAGCATGGGTAAGACAGTGGGGAAAACCCAGCTGCAGGAGGCATCTAAAGGCTCTGCCAGGAGGCCTGACTTTGCTGTGATCAGCGTCAGGGTCCACTCTGATACTGGTGAGCACCGAATGGGAGGCAAAGGGAGGAAACAGGAGCCCTCAGGAAGCACCTGCCAATTCAGAGACAAGCATAATCCTCTGAGATAGCCCCAGAGGAGGATCATCCAAACAAGTCTCCAGATTGCCAGGACCAGGGAGTATCCCTTATTTACAACAATAAGCACAGAGCAGTGCTGTGCAATAGAACTTTCTGTGATGTAGAAAATGTTCAATATCTGTGCTTTCCACTATGGCCGCCACTAGCCACATGTGACTTATTTGTTGTTGAGACAGTCTCACTCTGTCACCCTAGGTGAGTGCTGTGTCTTCATAGCTCAAAGCAACCTCAAACTCTTGGACCAAAGTGATCCCTTTGCCTCAGCCTCTTGAGTAGCTGGGATTACAGGCGCCCAAAATGATACCCAGCTATTTTTAGTAGAGATGAGGGTCTCACTCTTGCTCAGGCTGGGCCAGATGTGACTATTAAGCATGTGGCTAGTGCAGTTGAGGAAGTGAAATTTAAATTAATTTAAGTAGTCACATGTGGCTAGTGGCTACCACAGTAGACAGCACTGTCCTAGAGCATCTGGACAACTCAAGCTTCCTGTACTGGGAACCTACTCCTAGATACTTTATTAGGCACTTTACACAAATTATCTCATTAACTGTTCACAGCCTCTCATGAGGGGGTCTTATCAGCTCCATTTTAAAGAGGAGAAGATAAAGAATAAGAAAAGCCTTCTGAAGAGTGGTAGAGCTGGATTTGAATCTGGGACTGACTGGTTCCAGTGCTTGTCGATCTTCCTTTTATAGCACATTTCTTTGTACCATTTTTCTTCATCAATTGGACAAACTGATGCTTTGTGCAGCCTCTTGCCATCTGTGAGGTCCCTCTTGCTCATGCCTATGAACTGGTCTTCTGTGCCCTCTCTTCATTCTTTTCACTTCGGGATGACTTACCAGGATGCGGTAGTTGGGGGACACTATCACTGTACAGCCTGAGCAAGGTGGAAAGTAAGTGTAGACAGAGGCTCCCAGCACCTGGAATCACTGGTCATGGTGGCGGATTGCATTGAGTGGAAGAGAGTTGAAGCATACAGTACAGAGCTGAATGGAAGCTCACAAGATCTGAGGTGGAGTGGTTGGGGACACTCTTCCAGATTTTGATTCTCTTTTAGCCCCAGGAAGCTTCAGACCTGCTCCCTAAATTATTGAAGTATAAGAGCAGAGAACAGATAACCATTTCAAGGTAGGACTCATGGGTGTCTATAAATTGGACAGATTACCAGACCACTCAACCATTTTTCATTCAGTAAAAATATATCAAGCACCATAAGGATTTAGATTCAATAAGACTATAAAGCCCAAGAATCCACATTTTAACAAAACCCATGCAACTCTACAGCCTACTTGGTTTTGAGATCACACTTGGAAGTAAGACTATCTTGGTTTCAAATTTCATCTCTTTTACTTGTAGGTTGCTGCAATACAATGGCCAGGTCCCAACCTTGGAGTTGCTGACCAGAATCTCTGTGGGTTAGGCTCAGACATCTCCTCATTGGGTTGACACTGATGTGCCGACATGAGGACCCTGTTCCCTCATCTCTAATGCCTTCGTGGCACATACCACAGCCTATTTCATGTTCCTTGTCTCTCTTCTTGGCTAGGCTATGTCACCTTTGCACCCCCACAGCCCTTAGCATAGTGCCTTTCTCAAACGCACTCAATAAAGCATATTCAATGGAATGAAATGTTTTCCTCTATTTCAGTTCAGCTTTCTGGGTACAATCTTTTGCCCCCACACTCTTTTTTTCTGTGTCCTTTTTTTAATCATTCTCATTTGTGCTAGATCTTGATTGGCCTCTTCCTTTAGTATGCCTCTGTGTGCCACACCCATTGTTAAGAGAGGGCCAGGAGAGACTGGAGCACATGGGACCAGAACATCATAGGCTGTTATTGCCAAGCTTTAGGTAGCTGGTGCCAGCCCCTGCCCATGCCAGGTTCCTCCTCAGTACAGGGGCTGAGGAAAATCACCTGGGATGGAACTTTTCCTCTAAAGTTTCTTGGCACAGTGGTGGGCAAACAGAAGCAGGCCTCATTTCATGCAGAATCATGAGACAGATGAGGATCCATTAGATGCCAGGTCCCCCTTTCTTCCTCCTTTAACTACCACTGGCCACTGTGCCTATGCCTTTTACCTTCCTCCTCCCTCTAAGCCTTTCCTAAGAAAAGTAAACTAATTCACACTAGGTTGTTTATTTCAAATCAAGTATGCTACTCAGTCCAAGGGTTTTTTCTTTGTTTTTAAATCAAAAAAGAGTGTTTCAGATGATGGAGTCATCATAGCTGTCATTATAGATTAAGTATTTTTCAGGGGGGGGGTGGGAGTTGTTTCTCAATTTCTGAAATCACAAGAGTTGGGCCGGTGGCTCACACCTGTAATCCTAGCACTCTGGGGGGCTGAGGTGGGTGGATTGCCCTGAGCTCACAGGTTCGAGACCAGCCTTGCAAGAGCAAGATTCCCATCTCTAAAAATAGCCAGGCATTGGCTCGGCGCCTGTGGCTCAAGTGGCTAAGGCGCCAGCCACATACACCTAAGGTGGCGGGTTCGAATCCAGCCTGGGCCCACCAAACAACAATGACGGCTGCAATCAAAAAATAGCCAGGCATTGTGGCGGGCGCCTGTGGTCCCAGCTACTTGGGAGGCTGAGGCAGGAGACTTGCTTGAGCCCAGGAGTTGGAGGTTGCTGTGAGCAGTGACGCCATGGCATTCTACCCAGGGGCTCAGCTTGAGGCTCTGTCTCAAAAAAAAAAAAAAAATAGCCAGGGGTTGTGGCGGGCACCTGTTGTCCCAGCTACTTGGGAGGCTGAGGCAAGGGAGTCACTTAAGCCCAAGACTTTGAGGTTGCTGTGAGCTATGAGTCCACAGCACTCTATCAAGGGTAACAAATTGAGACTCTGTCTCAAAAAAAAGAAAAAAAAATTACAAGAGCGTCCCCTCTGAAAACAGAGGGGTATAAGAGAGCACCTGTTTCTGGAGGGGTTGCTGCCTTTGTTTTAAAGAGGGATTTCACCCTTGGGAACCCACCTTCAAGGTACCCCTTGAGAGGTGCCGACAGAGATTCTCATGTGGCCCCCTTTTCCCCTGCCAGATGTGGACGAGTGTGTGGAGGGGACTGACAACTGCCACATTGATGCTATCTGCCAGAACACCCCAAGGTCATACAAGTGCATCTGCAAGTCTGGCTACACCGGGGATGGCAAACACTGCAAAGGTGAGGTTAGGAGGGGGCCTTGAGAAGGGGAAGCCAGTGCCAATGCCCTTAGTCTGTGCATGTGACTGTGTATCCCATGAAGACTAGAAATGCCTGCTGGCCAAGGGCAGGTAACTGCATCTTCCTAGCAAGGGCACCATTTCCTAATTTGCACAAAGGCTGCATGCACTTTAGCTGAGGCCCTGGTGAGGATAGTTCACAGCCCAGAAGCAGCTGGGTGGAAGCAGCTTCACAGCCCAGAAGCAGCTTCCATCAGCATCATGGAACTAAGGCATGAGGTTTCCTGGTGTTGGAAACTCCATCTTTAGACACTCATGCAATCTCCCAGGGAAGATGGGAACAGTGTGGCCCAGGGGAAATTCATACCTTAAATGAACACATCTTGCCCTCATAATTAAGGTAATATAAATTAAAGTAGCCTTAAGATATTATTTTACATTTACACACTTCAGTATCGGTAAGACTTCAGTGAACAAGGTATACTCACTAGTTCCTGGTAGCACCATAAATGGAAAAGTAATTTTGTAATACCTAGTATTGACTCAGGAATTTTCCTTTTGGGGACTTAGACAAAGATAATTCAAAGAAACAAAATAGTATGTAGGTGAAGTTGTTTTTTGATGCATTATTTATGATAGTAAAATAAACAAATCTGTGCCTAATAGTAGAGAAAAAATTATGAGAATAGAGAAATAAATTATGATATTCCACAGCCATGTATAGTGGTGATTAGAAAGACCAGATAGAGATATGGGGAAATGTTTATGATTTGAGTTTAGATGAAATTAGCAAAGCACAAATGATTTATAACTCTTGAGGGTAACTATGTAAACACATACACACACACACTTGTACCCTCCTATTTTTTTTATAAAGCAACCAGAAGGCAGAACCCAGAGGTGGTCAGTGGGTTCAGTGGGTACACAGGTGGGTTCAACAGTAATGGTTTCTTTTTGTCCACAGATGTAGATGAGTGTGAGCGAGAGGATAATGCAGGTTGTGTGCATGACTGTGTCAACATCCCTGGCAATTACAGATGCACCTGCTATGATGGATTCCACCTGGCACATGATGGACACAACTGTCTGGGTGAGCAATTGAGAAGGGATTTGGTGGGGAAATATCTTGTGGGAAAAGAGGTCTTTTCAGCATTTCTTATTTACCAGTCAAGGAAGGTAAAGTGTGGTGGTGCCCATAGCTCAGTGGGTAGGACGCCAGCCACATACACTGAGGGCGGCAGGTTCAAACCTGGCCCAGGCCAACTAAAGCAACAATGACAACTGCAACAAAAAAAATTAGCCAGGCGTTGCAGCAGGTGTTTGTAGTCCCAGCTACTTGGGAGGCTAGGCAAGAGAAACACTTAAACCCAAGAGTTTGAGGTTGCTGTGAGCTGTGACACCACAGCACTATAGGCAGGTGAAATAGTGAGACTCTGTTCCCTCCCACTCCCCCCAAAAATAGGAGGGTAAAATGATCAAAAAGAGCTGCATTCCACCCTGCTGCAGTGGCTCACGCCTGTAATCCTAGCACTCTGCGAGGCTGAGGTGGGTGGATTGCTTGAGTTTATGAGTTCAAAACTAGCCTGAGCAAGAGTGAGACCCCAGCTCTACTAAAAATATAAAAACTGGCTTGGCACCTGTGAACTCAAATGGCTAAGGCGCCAACCATATACACCTAAGGTGGCAGGTTCCAATCCAACGTGGGCCCACCAAACAACAATGATGCCTGCAACCAAAAAATAGCCAGGCATTGTGGTGGGTGCTTGTAGTTCCAGCTACTCAGGAAGCTGAGGCAAGAGAATCGCCTAAGCCCAGGAGTTGCAGGTTGCTGTGAGCTGTGATGCCACAGCACTCTCCTGAGAGTGATAAAGTGAGACTCCATCTCTAGTCTCTAAAAAAAAAAAAAAAAAAAAGGCTTG